GGAGTGGGTATTTTGATGGATAAGGATCTTAGAGAGTTAGTGGTAGAGGTTAGGCGGGTGAGTGACAGATTGATGACGATTAAGTTAGTAGTTGGAGGAAGCACTCTGAATGTCATTAGCGCATACGCGCCGCAAGCGGGCTTGGACGAGGAGGTTAAAAGGCGCTTTTGGGAGGCGTTGGATGAGGTGGTGCGGGGTATTCTGCCTACGGATAAGTTATTTATAGGAGGGGATTTCAGTGGGCATATTGGGTCGTCTGTTGATGGCTATGGTGAGGTGCACGGTGGCTTCGGCTTTGGGGTTAGGAATGGAGGACGTACGTCACTGTTGGATTTCGCTAGAACTTTTAAGTTGGTGATCGTGAACTCTATTTACCCGAAGAAAGAGGAGCATTTGATTACTTTCCGNATCTGCTGATGGCTATGGTGAGGTGAACGGTGGCTTTGGCTTTGGGGTTAGGAATGGAGGACGTACGTCACTGTTGGATTTCGCTAGAACTTTTAAGTTGGTGATCGTGAACTCTATTTATCCGAAGAAAGAGGTGCATTTGATTACTTTCCGGAGTATGGTGGCTAAGACTCAAATTGATTATCTTCTCCTCAGGAGGTGTGATAAGGGGTTGTGCGAGGATAGTAAGGTGATCCCGAGTGAAAACCTCGCGACACAGCATAGGCTTCTGGTGATGGACGTCGGTATCTTGATAAAGAGGAAGAAGAGGTTTGTACGGGGGCAATCGAGGATCAGGTGGGGAGTCTTAACTAAGGAAAATGCGCAGGAGTTGGAGGGAAGGTTGGCCGCTATGGGAGCTTGGAAGAGTGGTGGGTATGCTAGCGGTATGTGGACGGCGACATCGAGCTGTATAAGGGAGGCAGTGAGAGAGGTGTTAGGGGTCTCGACGGAGTACTCAGGCGGGCATCGAGGCGACTGATAGTGGAATGACGTGGTCCAGAGTAAAGTGGAAGCAAAGAAAGCGGCTTACCATAAGTTATTGGAGAGCACTGGCGAGGAGCAGAGGAGAGCAAATAGAGAAAGATATAAGGAAGTTATGAGGGAAGCGAAGCTAGCGGTCACGGAGGCTAAGACTACTGCGTTTGGGTGGTTGTATGAGGAACTGGGGGTAAAGGTGAGGACAAGAAGTTATTTCGGCTGGCTAAAGCGAGAGAGAGGAAGGCTCGTGATCTGGATCAAGAGAGATGCATCAAAGACGAGGAAGGTCGGGTATTGATGGAAGAGGCCCAAATTAAGCAGAGGTGGCAGTCGTACTTTCTTAGACTTCTGAATGAAGAGGGGGACAGAAACATCATGTTAGGGGAGTTGGGGCACTCCGAAAGTCACCAAGACTTTAGGTACTGTAGGCGTATTAAGGTGGAGGAGGTCATGGGAGCAATGCGTAAGATTAGTCGGGGCAAAGTGATCGGACCAGACGAGATTCCAGTTGAATTATGGAGGTATATGCGTAAAGCAGGCTAGGAGTGGCTGACTGAGCTGTTTAATGTTATTTTCAAGACGGAGAGGATGTCAGATGAGTGGAGGTGGAGTACGATGATTCCGTTGTACAAAACCAAAGGGGACATCCAGAATTGTAACAACTATAGGGGTATAAAGTTACTAAGTCATACCATGAAAGTTTGGAAGAGGGTGGTGGAAGGGAGGGTTAGGAGGGCAGTGTCTATATCAGAAAACCAGTTTGGGTTCATGCCTGGTCGTTCTACTACAGAAGTTATCCATCTTATCAGGAGGTTGATGGAACTAGGAAGAGGGATCTGCACAAGGTGTTCATTGATCTAGAGAAGGCGTATGACAAGGTCCCTAAGGACGTTCTTTGGAGATGCCGGGAGGTGAAGGGTGTGCCGGTAGCTTATATTTGGGTGATAAAGGATTTATATAATGGAGCTAGGACTCGGGTAAGGACTATAGGAGATGATTCGAAGCCCTTTCTAGTAGTTATGGGGTTATACCAAGGATCTGCGCTCAGCCCGTTCTTATTTGCCCTAGTAATGTGCATTGACACACCATATTCAAGGGTAGGTGCCATGGTGTATGTTGTTCGCTGATGATATAGTTCTGATTGATGAGATGAGAGGCAGTGTTAATGAAAGACTAGAGGTATAGAGACAGGTCCTGGAGTCTAAAGGTTTCAAGTTGAGTAGGACCAAGACGGAATATTTGGAGTGCAAATTTAGCGATGTGTCGGGGGAAACGAGCGGGGAGGTGAGACTTTACTCGGAAGTCATCCCTAAGAGAGAGAGTTTCAAGTACCTAGGGTCTATTATCCAAGGAGATG